GCAGGCGGCGGCGGACGGAACCCTCTCAACGGGCACCACGCTCACGGTGGTGGAGAAGCAGTGGAGGCCGCCTTCGTGGCTTGGCCTGACGTCTCACTGGGGGCGGCGGAACGCGAAGGATGAGCTGATGGCGGGCTTCGTTGTTTCCGGCTACTACACCGCGATCACGATGGCAGTGTTCACCGACCTCGGCTACTACAAGGCAAACTTCGAGATGGCGGAGCCGATGAGCTGGGGCAGCGGAGCCGGCTGCGCGCTGCTGACCGACAAGTGCGTGACGGACGGTGCCACGCTGTACCCTGATATGTTCTGCACCGACTCGAGCGACGCCACTCTGCGGTGCACGTCTGATCGCCAGTCGCTGGGGACCTGCGCAATTTACCAGGACGATAACATCCCACCGGAGTTCCAGTACTTCGCCACCAAGCAGGGCTCCAGGCGAGGGGCCATGATGGAGTACTGCCCCTTCATTGCGCCAATGAATGGCACAGGGTGCATGGATGGCGACGAGGCCATCATGCCTGGGAGCGTTGTTGGCCCGTCCTCGCGCTGCTTGACTGGGGAGAACCTTCGGATGGGCAGTACGGTTGTTGGTGACGTGTGCGTGCAGTTGAGGTGTGGTGAGGGCACGCTAAGTGTGCGGTACAGGGGCAGCGAGGAGTGGCATCCCTGTGCACCGGGACAGACGCTGACGCCCCCGGCGCCATTCACGGCGGGCAGCATAAGATGCCCCTTGTTCAGCGACGTCTGCCTCACCATGTTGAAGCACAGTGATGCGAGCAGCACCGACGTGGAAAGCCACCCGAAACACCTTGCGATGATCAGAAATAACGATGGCAGCGCTCTGGCGGTCACTTCTGCGCCGCCTCTTCTCCTTCTCATTGTGATCGGCACGGTGATTGTCGCACCCTGACCCGCGCCTGTTGCCGACACCGCACCTCCTTTGCTCCATTGGGCCTCTCTTGGAATCCTTTTGCTATAGGAGCTCAGACATTTTCTTTCTTTTTTTTTTTCTATTGTTTCTTTTTTTATTGTTTCTTTTTTTTTTGTTTTGTTTCTTTTTTTTTTTTTTTATTGCTTTGTTTCTTTTTTCTTTTTTGTTTTCTTTTTTTCCTTTTTTTTTTTCATGTTTTTTATTGCTTTGTTTTCTGCCGCGGTGAGCCAAAGTCTTTTCGCCCTCTCCCGGCTACAAGAGTGCCTGTGACTTCTCATTGGCCTCACCGCCCGGCGGAGGACATTATGTAAGGTGTGTGTAGGACGTTTGCTTTGGAAATGACCGGTGCTGAAGTCATGCATCCCCTCTGGCTGTGGTGCATCTGTGTGTTCAGAGGCGTGTTGGCGGAGCGACAGCGCAGGGAACTGACTTCTTCCCCATTTCCCAATATTTTTCTTTTATTATTATTATTATTATTATTATTATTATTATTATTATTATTATTGCGCATTGCGACATCCCGTGAAAACGCGCCGAGGGTTTTGAAAGAAGTCTTTTTTCGGTGATGGCGGAGGCACCTGATAATAGGTTTTTCTTTTTTTCTCTTTTGTGGACGGACACCGAATGAATGTGCGGGTGTTTTACTTCCTTCTTGTTGGGCTCACCGGGGATTTGTCAGCGCTCTGGGGCGGTAGCTGTGTTGTGTTTTTGGAGTGGAGGCGGGTCTTGCCCGATTGCCTGTTATTTTATTTTCTTTTTTTTGTTATGTCTGCTTACGAGATGTTTTGGCTGTGCTTTGTATTTGTAGGGTATGGGACGGTTGCGTAGTTCGTGGGTGGCGCGCGATGCTTTTCGGGAGCTAAACCTTTTTTGGCTTCAACGTGCGTGGCACTTCACCGCGCTTGGCAATTATGCCATTGCGGCTGATTACGTCATTCGCATGCTGAATCGCTGCCCAAGGGATCCTGTGGGTCTTCTGTTGGGCGAAATTGTTGCGAAGTTTACGCAACAGGACGCGTTTTTGGCGAAGTGCCGAGAGGCACAGCGACGTCTGTGTGTGCAGAATAACGTTGGTGATGCATTGCAGCTTGTCTCTGAGGAAACAGCGAGGGAAAAGCTGCGTATGTGGCTGAAAATGGCGAGGGATGCCCCAGCGATTGAGGGGCCTATTGAGGAGCAGATGATTGTTCAGGAGAGTGAGCCATTTACAGATACAAGGAGCTCTGTGCGCATGATGGCGCAGCGTGTATCTACCCTTCCACTTGTCGAGTTGCAGAAGCCAAAACAAAGTGTCTACGGCCGAGGGATTTATGCACTGGATCGTATTAATTCTAGCACGCCTGTAATGCTGGACCAGCCATTTCTTGTGCAGCGGATGCGTGACGACGCGTGTGCGCATTGCTTGGCCACAATCGGTAGGAGTGGTGCATCTGCAGGTGGCGTGCAATGTGCACATTGTGATCGGGAGACTTATTGTAGCGTGGCTTGTCGTGATGCGGCGTGGCGTGAGTATCATGTCTGCGCCTGTGTTTCCCGCAACGAAATGTACGCGTTTTGGGAGGGGTCAATGCGTGAGCGGCTGCTGTCGGATAAGATGGAGGAGTCACGTGCGGCTCTTGCCTGTCTTGCAGTGGCCAAGCTTTGCGTATTGTCTACGGTGCAACAAATGCATCCACTTGCGTTGCCGCGAATTTGTTCGCTGCGTGGGCGTGCGGACTACGATGCTTCCACGGCGCTCAGTGGGGTGGGCGCGCTTGCTGTAACGTTGGCGACGGCGCTCCGTCAGACGCATCTTTACATGGAGGAGTTGTTGTCTCTTTTTGCGATTGTACAGACGAATGAGTTTTTGCTTCCAAGTGGCATGGCTCTCTATCACGGCTATTCCTTTCTCAACCACAGCTGCGAGCCAAACTGTGCCCTGCTGGGGTCGGGCGCAACGAACCGCCGTCTTGTAACGCTGCGGGACGTGCGGGAGGGGGAGCAGCTGTTTATTGATTATAACGCAAGCCTTACAACGCGCGTGTCTTACGCGGACCGACGCGCACTCTGTCAGCAACGGCACTTTGAGTGCTTCTGTCCCAAATGCGTCCGACAGGAGTGAAAGAGAAGTGCTCTCCTTTTTTTTTTCTTTTCTGTTGTTTGTGGTTGGGGTGTGAGGGGCTTCCACCGTGACGGCAGTGAGGGGGATCATGAACGAAGAGAAGGAACAAAAGGGTAGCGGGAAAAAATGGGGAAAAGTTGACGTCAGCGTGGCGAGCATTTGTTGAAATTCATTTTTTTGTCTTCACTACCTGCATTCGCATGCGGCTACTGTAACCGCGATGGCTGCAGCGTATCTCTACGTACATGCGCAAAAATGTCTCTGGCGTGTGAAAAAAGGGGAGTGGTGAGATTTTTTTTGTTTGCTTTTGTGTCACTTGCTTTCTTTCTTGTTTCCATAGCCTTATTTTGTGCGCTGCGCATTTGTTGCCACCGCACTTGACTGTTAGCGTGCAATGCGTCTTTCCGCAGTGGCGCGCTGCGCTCCATCCAGCGGTACACTCAGCAGCCGCCTAACACATTTGGTGCAAAGTGCCGAGGAGCACATTGCATCACGAGGCACCGCTGCGACGGTCCGTGATGACGGTCTCTGGGAGCAGGTGCTGGCCACCGCGCACTGTGCCCGCGCGTTGAAGGAGACGGACACGACTTTGGCCATCGTATTTCGACTTCTACGCTGCGGCTGCTACCCTTCACGCAGCGCTGTGTGGCCGGGGCTCATTCGTGACTTGGCGCCGTATAGCGATATTGAGGCCAACGCCGTTCTCTCCTACCCGGGCGTGCCAGAAGGGCCCGAGAGCCAAAGTGAGGCCGGTCCCTGGCGGTGTGCGAGAGTGCCAGAAGATATTCTTGCGGCGGGGCGTGAGTCGGAGGTGCCGGATATGCCTCCACTGCTGCGTCCTACGCGTGAAACGTTGCTGATGACGGGTGGCGTTGTGCCTTTAAGCGCGCGAATACCGTGCAGTGATGGCGGAGCACTCAGCGTTTTGCTGGAGTCGTTTTGCAGTGTGTGTGAGGCTTCACATGGTGGCGACGGTGACGGTGAGATGACTGTTAATTTTTTTCAGGATGTGACGGCTGCTGTTGTGTCTGCAATGCAGCCCATCACCGCGACGATTGTTCTGACGGAGTCGAGTCCACTGGCGAGGGCACTGGTGAGATTTTTTCGACTGCTTTTTAACTTCTCCGCGCGGCAGTCGGGAGGGCAGCTGCATCTCGCGGAGAACTTTGCGAAGGGGCTGACAAAATTGTTACCGGAGAACGCCCTTGGAGCGAGAATGGTGTTGCTGTTTCTCGCCGAACATCACGCAGAGTACGGTGACGAAATGGTGCACATCCCGCTGGTCCGCATTGCTGCGGGGGCCATTTGGCGGCAATACGAGAAGCATGAAAGTTTTTCTTGTCTTCGACAAATACAACATGTCAACGACGCGGTGGATGTCACGCTGCAGCGGAACGCAAACAATGGAAATCCACTCGCGCTAGATGACTCGGACGAGGCGGCACTTCGGTTGTTGCTATCTCTTGCGTTGCTTCGGGTCATGCGTGTGGAGGCTGTATCCCCTGATGTTTTCTTACGCGATGCCGTTGACATTGTGGATCGTTCTCCCATGACGCTTTCTATAGAGTACGAGCTGATTGTAGCCAAGGTGGAGCTGCTGGATTTGTTCCTGGACGACGAGTCTAGCTCCAGTGCCATTTATGATGATCTGCTGCATTCTTTGCGTGCCATTGTGGAGCTTCGCCCGCGAGACGGCGTGGACGGCGACACATCTGCCGTCCCTGACGCGACGCACTACTCAATTAAAGAGGATGAGGAGGAAGTGAGGGAGTTAGCACGCCAACAGTTTCAAGAAGCTCATCGGCTTGTTTTGACGGTCTTTGCCCGCTCCCAATTGGATGAGCGTCTAAACCAGGCGTACACTGTCCTGGTCACGCACAAGTATCATGGCCTTGTGATCACCAGGGACGTGGCGAATCCGCTTTTAGATGCCCTCAGCCGTCGTGGAGATTGCCGTGTTTTCAACATTGTTGATTTGTGTGTTTTATATAGCGGGAGCCACATTGACTACGACACCCTCACGTACCTTTTTAGAGCTTGTCGTGTGGCCGGTGACTTTTACCGCGCCCGCACTCTTTACCAGTTACTACGAGAAATGATACCGGGGTTTCTGCTGCGGGCACCGGAGGCTATCAAGGACGCCTTGCAGGAGCTGAAGATACTACAACCAGAACCGGCTCATTTATTTCCTGCATCTCTGGCGGTAGATGGCGATGAGGCGGCTGCGGCTGTGAATTATGAGGGCGTCGTGGATGACGAGGCGTTGACCGCACGCCAACGGGGACCTATTCGAGAGTTGCCGACAAAACGTACCCACACGCCTTCTTGATTCGTTGATTTTTTCAGTTTATTCCTTTTTTTGTGCAATTTTGCATGCCTTGTGTGTGGGATATATATTACACACGTCAATACGTAAGAATGTGCTTTTTTTATTATATATTTTCTTTGTTTCTTTGCGTGTGTATGCATCCGGGATGATGACTACACGATGCAATAAAAAAACAACAAAAAAACAAAAAGGAAAGGAAAAGGGCGGTGTTGGTGGTGGGTGGGGTAAAGAAACCCGGCCGCATCAAATTATATACACGCATTGTGTTTCTCTCTGTGTGAGTGAAGGAGAGAAAAAACGGGAAGAGTCCAAAAAGGAAGGAAAACACGAGGGGCACGCAAAAAACGCACATCGATCCAATAATAACAAACAAGCAACCACCGGAGGAGGGAGGGAAGGGGCAAATATCACATGAGCGACGACCCGAATGGAACACGTTGGTCGAATTCCGAGAATAATATCGGCAAATCGATGCTGAGGCGCTCCGGCTGGACGGAGGGCAGCGGCCTGGGGAAGAACCAGGAGGGCGTGACGAGCCACATCAAGACACGGCGGAAGGATGGCGTGATGGGAGTTGGCTACGAGGGCGGCGTGCAGGAAGCATGGAGCGCGCAGTCGGTGGGGTTTGCCGATGTGCTCTCACGAATAAAGAATGCCGTCGCCGCGGGATCCTCCGACTGCGGGGAAGGGAGGGATGCCGATGAGGACAATGAAAACCCTGGCCCGAGTGGTGGGCGGCATGTCTGCATGTATTCCAAACGGCACGCGCTAAAAACGGAGCTGCTGCGGTCGAAGAATGGGGTGTTGTCGTCGGAGATTCTTGGCAGCGCCAGCTCCTCTCGCAAGCGGACGCGTAATGGTGACAACGAGAGCGAGGAGGATGCCGCCCTCTTATCGACACTCCGGTCCCCTTTGTTGCAGCGCGTGATGGTCCGCGTGCCGAGGCACGAGCCGAAGGCGTTAACGAAGGAAGACACGAATGAGATTGAAACGGTCCGCATCACAAAGCCGCAGCCGCGACCGCCGAAGTGCACCGATACGCCATTTCTTGCAACAACCGAGTAGCCTGCGGGGGGTGATGGGTGAGTTGTGGTTAACAATAATTTGCCGTCGGGCCGCCAAGCTGCGGGATTTACGGTGAGAACAACAACAACAAAGAAGTGCAAATTGAAACAGAAGTGCAGATAAGGACTTGGCGAAACCGAAACAAATATTTATGGTCATCTCATAATTAAGAGTATACTGGCCAACTCTTCTTCGCCCAAAAAATTTTTTTTTGCGCGTTTTTTGCTTCCCATTTCGTGCTGCTACTTTTATTTATTATCATCGTTTTCTTTCTTTTTTTTTTTTTTTTTTTCTTGCACGTTCCACTTTTTACTCATTAGCCGCAGGTTTTTTTCTGTGCTTTAAAAGAGAAGAAAGAAAAGGGGAAGAAGGTGAAGCGGGAATTCTGTTTCTTCTTGTATTTTATTTGAATTGATATATACAATCCATACGTACACACGCATACGGTTACACGTATTTTATAGACTTTTAGGCGGTGGTAAAGAATACTGCGATAGATATTTTTGTTGCAATTAACGAGGTGATTTCTGAAGGTCCGCCACACACTTTTTCTCTATTCAATACACATCCACACACACCCTTTTTGCAGCTGCAGCAGGAGGGGAGGCAGTGAAGGGGTTTCTCCTTCTTTTTTTTTTTTTGTGTTTGTGTCTGCCTGTTTTGGGCGTTTGAAATGACGGAGAAGGTGCGTGTTGCGGCCCGCATTCGGCCGTTGCCAACTGCCGGTAGTGTGCTTGCCGTTGCGCCGCTCGACGAGAGAAGAGTCTGCGTTTCTAATCGCCGTGTCTACCACGTGGACCGTGTGTACGGCCGCCATGACTCAACTGAGTTGATCTTCTTTGAAAGTGTTGTGGCGCTCGTGGATCGATTTCTTGCTGGCTACAACGCGACGGTCCTCGCCTATGGGCAGACGGGCACGGGGAAGACATATACAATGGACGGCCTTACCCCGCTTGTGGTGCGGTACATCGTGGAGAACATGTCAAACTCCACTTCAAAACTTAGTTTTCAGTGTATTGAGGTCTACGGTGAGACGCTGCGTGATCTCCTTACAGACGACCCCGTTGGCTCGACGAAACATCTGCAGCTGCATGAGAGCGACGGCAGCGGCAGCGGCGGTGGCGGTGGCGGGGTAGTGGTGGTTGGCGCCGCTCGTGTGAAGGCCCGCAGCATAGCGGAGGTTCAGGACATCATCAACCATGGCGCCCGCATGCGTACGACGGGCGCGACGAATATGAGTGAGCACTCATCGCGTAGCCATAGCATTTTTACGATCTTTAATCATGAGCGGCAGTCCAAATTGAATCTTGTTGACTTGGCCGGGTCGGAGCGGAACAAAAAGACACAAAACGTGGGTCAGCGCTTCCGTGAGAGCATTGCCATCAACGGCGGTTTGTTGGCTCTTGGGAACGTTATTCGGGCGCTTAGTCGAAATCATTTCCAGTCCCCTGAAAGCCCTCGTCATGTGCCGTACCGCAGCAGTAAACTGACACGTCTTTTACGGGATTCACTTGGTGGGAACAGCACGACACTCCTCATTGCCTGCGTCGCCTCGGATGCGTCAAACAGCGACGAGACGACGCGTACGTTACAGTACGCTGCCTTTGCCATGCATATCCTAAACGAGCCATTGCCGCAGTTTGATGATCAGGCGGCAGCGGCGGAAGTTGTGAGAAACGCGGACGCCGGCCACGACCAGGAATCCTTGGCGAGGAAGAATGCCGATGATATTTCCTCAGAAGCCGCAGCGGAGGTGGGGCGACTGCGGCAACGAGTTGCGGGGCTTGAGGAACAGGTGCAACGGTGCCGCGACGAGCTTAAGAATGATGAGGCGGTCTTTGCGCAGCAGATCAAAGACATGCGATTACTGCTGGAGGAAAATGAGTCACTGAGGAGACGGGTAGCATTTCTTGAGGGTCGTCCTACCGCCACACCGCGATCAACGCCAGATATGAGGCAGGCTAACTGGCAAAAACAACAAAAACACCAAGAGCAGCAGCAGCAGCAACAGCAGTGGAATTCAGTGCCGATTCCGCCCAATGTGAACTACGTCCAGGACACTCTGCAGCTTTACGGCATAATTCCCCGACAGAATGACCAAAGTTTCTTCTCACATCCTTCGTCCCAACCGCGTCCCGCTGTTTGGGGAGAAGAAAGGGCAGTGCAAAACCACGAGAGACACCCACCAAGCGACTCTTTGAAGAGGCCCATTATTGCGGCAAGATGGGGTGGGGCTGCTGCAGCGGTGAATGCGGCGGGCGAATGCACTCACGTCAACAAAATTGAGGGTGGCTGGGGCGATGGCGGTCAGCAGTTGACGGCGAGGGAGGAACAACTTGGCTTATTGGCGAAGGAGGCACTTTACTATCAAAACAGTAATAGTGAGTTACGCCGCCGCCTTCGCACGGTGCTTGCGATGTATGAGGCACAGCAGCACGAGGCGGCCATGTTACGTTTAGAAGTGAAGCAGATTCACGACTTACTCGATGGACCACCTCACTCTTAGCGGTTGTTGCTGATTCATTACAGGTCTGTTGTAATTGCCTGATGCCGCCTTTGTAAGGTTGCAATGGAAAGAAGTTATCTCTCTCTCCCTCTCCCTCCTTTTTTTTTTTTTTTATGTCATTTCTCTGTATAAATTATATTCTTTTTTTTTTGTCTGATCGACGTGTTCCTTTTTTTTTTTTTTTTCCCTTTTGCTCAATGAAGGTGTTTTTTATTTATTTTTTTGTATTTTTTCCCCCTTTTTTTTTGCGTGTGCCGTTGTTCAGGCATCATGGAAGAGGCGGGAGGCGGTAGGCCCACGGGTCCATCCGCGACGAAACGGAATGATGCCACGCTGTCGGTACCGCGTGGTGCCGGCATCACACTAGTGGAGTCGCTGCGGCGCCGGCAGGTGCAGGCGGAGTTGCAGCTGCGTGAAACGGAGGATCGATTTCGCCGTGACTGTGCCAGGCAGGAGCAGGAGTTGGATCTGCTGCGTATTGAGAATAGTAAGTACAAGGCAAAAATCGAAGAGTTGCGCATGGCACAGACGGCGCCGCGGGAAACATCGATGTACACGTTTGTTCGCGGCAGGGAGTCCAACCTGCTTAGAGCATCCTCGCATAAGTACTGCATGGCGCGCGAGGCGGTTGAAAAGGCCCGAGAGGTATTAAGTGAAATCAAGGCGAGGGTCGTTGCTTTGCGACAGCGCATTCACGACATGCAGCGACAATGTGGCAATGCTCGCTCGCGTGCGGATTATTCCAACAGACAATCACGTCGCAGCTGCATTGAAATTGAGCTGCAGACGCGGGCCTCGCGTTTACAACTCCGTGGGCTTGAAGCCCATGTTGAGTTTGAGACGGATCGGCGGTCGGGTATCATCGAAGAGGTGAAGGCCCTGCGGAGAGATATTGACGTGCTGCTGACGGCGCAGAGACGCGGTGACGAAATCTTCCAGGATCGCGAGAATGAGATGCTGGAAATTATGAAGGAAACTTCCTTTCTTATTGAAGTGTGCAACGTTCTCTCTGAGGAGCGCGATGCTTATCGGCAGCAACTACTAGAACTTCAGCGGGCATCCGAGGCAGATCACGAGGCCTATGAAAATGCATTTAGCGATCTAGTTGGGGTAGAGGAGCGTGATAAGGTGGTGAAGACGAAACTGCGTGAAGGCGTCGCCAAACTGGAGGATGAATTGCGGAATGTCACCCGGGAGCGAGAGGCTGCGGAGCGTCTCGTACGCGAGGATGAAGCCGCCAGTCGCGCGATCAGACATGGAGAAAATGGGAACGATGATGACAGTGAGCCAGAGAACAATGATCTTTCGCGCCAGGTGGCGGAGTTCGAACGTTACATTGGTCGGCTTGCGGAAATGGCCGGCTCTGAGAGTCTTCCCGACATAGAGCGTTACATATGTGAGGGTGGGGAGGAGCGGTTTCAGCTGTACTCTTTGCTCCACCGCACGCAGGATGACTTGGCAGCTCTTGAACAGGAGAAGGAGGCGCTCCAGGAGGCGCGGTGGATTGCGACAGAAGGCTCGGAGGTCGAACACCGCGCTCGTGAGGAGCTGGAGGAGCTGCAGGCAAAACTGCGTCAGATACAAATCGATACTCTTGACCACGAGCAGCAGGCGGAGTGTGTGAGGACACAAATTGATGCCAGCCTACCGGACGTGCAGTCCATCTTTGACGCGCTGGGATGCGATGATAGCATGATCATCGCTCAGCACGGCGTGTCGGTACTCTCCCGCGGCACGGTGAAGCTTTTCCTTGCCTCTATTGAGCAGCGGCTGGAGGAGTACATGGCAGCCTGGATGCAGCGACAGCAACCGTCGCACGTTCTATCTCCAAATGTGGGTTATAACGCGTCGGGCTTTGGAATCACGGCACAAATGGAGACATCAAAGACGATGCCAGCAGCGTCGCCACATGTGCTTCCGTCCACGAACGAACCGGAGGCGATGGAACACGAAAAGGGTGTCACGGGAGAGTTACTTCGCAGTGAATGGGCGCATGTGTTGGTGAAGGGGCAAGTAGAGAATGGGGGTATAGACGTCAATGATGCAGGGGGCCACACGTGACATCAAACTGTCGGTTTAGAGATCAGTAAATGAAATTTGAAAATACACGCACACACACACACACAAAAAAAAAAAAAAAAAAAAAAAGGAAGGAGACGGGCGCAAATTAAGAAATTTGCGTGAGAACCGTGAGCGAAAAGGAGACAACTTTTCCGCCCTTTTCCCCACCCACACACTCCACTCGAATGAGAAGCAAACAGAAGTAAGGAAACATATAACAAAAAAAGCACAGAAGTTAAATATGGGGCTCCATTTTTTCTTTTCTACTTTTTTTATGCGTTCCTTGTAGGGGGCTGAGGAAGTAGTATGGGGCGTTGTTTTTTTTTTTTTTAGTTGGTTGTATCCACACATTTATTTGGGAATTTCTCTCAGTTTTGCCCCAAATGTGTAATGCGCGTATTGTGTCTAACACACAAACGCACATGAATATATGTGCCCTACACTTGTTTCTTTTTTTTTTTTTTTTTTTTAGTGGTCTGGTGTATGCGTGTGCAGGCGAATGGCAAGTCTTTTGTATTTTTCTTTTATTTTTATGAGGTCGGGTGGGGACGTGTGAGTCTGCGGCCCCTTTCGATTTGCAAATCATTTAGAGAAGTTTCTGTGAGAGAGATGTATTTGCATTTTTATTTGCCCCCGGTCATGTAATGGCGTCAGTATATATGCGTGTAATATACATATGTATATAGAATATATCTATATTATGCACGCGACAAGCATATTTCCGTTCCTTTTTCTTTTTGCACTTTGTTTCTTTGGCCCTTTCCGTCTCTTTTTAATGAGGGTATTTTCTTTTACAGTGCTGCTGCATTTTTTGTTGGTGTGTGTGTGTGTGTGTGTGTGTGTGTGTGTGTGTGTGTGTGCCCTTGTCTCTTTATCTCTCTCGGCGTTTTTTTCTTGTGTGTGGCGCGATCCATGTAGACGGTAGTCGTGCTATCATTCTCGTCTCCGTTGTGTGTGTCTGTGCCGCATATGACGGAGGGCGAGTCACCAAAGTGGAAGTCGTCTCTGCTCCAGAAACGTCTGGTGACTCGCAGGGCATTTTGCAACGAAGCATCGCAATGCGCCGCGTCCATCCTGAGCTCCGAAGCGGCTCGCGTGGATGGTCAACTTTGCGATGACGTTCGCGCCGTGTTGGCCGGCAACGCAGTTTACATCCGCCGTTTTGTATGTGAGGAGGCTGACATGCGGCTTTACGAGAGGCTGAGGGCGGAGTTGGTGGCCGCGACGGGGGCGAACATGTCACGCGACGGCGGACGCATCGATTGGAGCCGTCATGAAATATTTGAGAACCCGACAGGAATCAGCGCGATGTTTAACGAAATAATAGAAATGCTGGCGGAGTACTTTGATTTGGACGTGTACGCCACGCGACTGAATTATTACCGCGACGGGCATCAGTGGAAGCCGCAGCATCACGACAGCCACGCGTATGGAGGCACCTCCACCCACGCCGGCGAGAGGTTGCGCGAGGACTTTACGGTGGGCATCACACTTGGGGCGACGCGCAGTCTTCTCTTCGTGCACGAGGCCTCTGGCCACCAGTTCGACTTCCCGCAGCGCAACGGTGACTGCTTTGCCTTTACAAGTGAAGTAAACAACGCATTTACGCACGGGGTACCGCGTGTTAACACGCCGATTGGCGATCGTTTCAGCATCATCGCGTGGGGACGGCGTCGTACGATGAATGAACGTAACAGCGATCGAGCGGTGACTTCTTTTGAAGGCAACGATCTCCGATCCGTCGATGACGCCATACGGGCTGCCCATCAACTTGTCTCCCGCGCTTCTGCATCCACAAGGCCAACGGTGACACCAACACTGTCGACGAGGATGGAGAGGAACGACGGGAACAGCCATAGAAATGAGAGCAGCGCTGGAAGCAGCGTGCCCGCGAAGAAAAAGAAGAAGAATCGACTTCAGTGAGTGGTCGAGGGAAGAAAAGATACGCGCATCATAATGAAGATAAAAGGAACAGCAAGAAAAGCAATGAGTGAGTTTACCTTAACGTATGCGTGTATGTGTGTGTGTGTGTGGGAGATCCACACGGTGTTATCCTCAAATAATATGTAAATAAAAATATTACGTGTAAACCATAGAGCGAATGAGTCAAATGAGTTTTATTGTCGCGTTTGCTTCTACAAGTGTAAGTTTCCTCGTGGAATACCATGTGTTCTCGGGTATCTCGACGCATTTATGCGTTTTGAATTATCTTGTACTTTTTAAGAACTTTTTTTTTTTTTTTTTCTGGTACCGTGTGGATAAAGAGTGCGGTAAACCGTACCGTAAGAGGAGAAGATTATATATATTTTAAATAAAACAACAATGACTGACCTGCGTATGACTGAGCGCCCGGGCTTTACTGGGAAACTTAATGGGAAAATCCTGGAGCGCGTCCGATTCCTGGCAGGAGAGCTGCAGATACCTGACCTCGAGTCGAAGTTCCCCCACTTGAAAGTGACGGACGGCTCATGGCGCCCACCGCTTCCGGGTGATGATGTCAACTTGGCTGCCTACATTGACCACACGCAGCTTAAGCAGGAGGCGCCAAAGGCAGACATTGTGAAGCTCTGTGAGGAGGCGAAGCAGTACAAATTTTATGCGGTTTGTGTGAACAGTTCTCGCGTGAAGCTTTGCGTGGAGAAGCTGCGTGGCACAGGCATCAAGACTGGCGCATCATGTGGCTTTCCCCTTGGGGCATGCAGTACCGCAACGAAAGTAGCGGAGGCGAAGACGATGGTGCAGGAAGGCGCGGAGGATATGGATATGGTGCTGAACGTTGGTGCGCTGAAGGACAAGGACTACCGTTATGTCCTGGAAGACATTAAGGCAGTCCTTGCCGTGTGCCCACCGCACGTGACGACAAAAGTTATCTTTGAAACGTGCCTCTTGACGGAGGAGGAGATTATTGACTGTGCCATCATCTCTGTTGTGGCGGGCGCGAGTTTTGTAAAGACATCCACTGGGTTTAACAGCGGTGGTGGGGCCACACCGGAGGCCATTGATGTCATGCTCGCCGTTGTTGGCAAGGCCGCGAAGGTGAAGGCGAGTGGTGGTGTGCGGGATCGGTTCACAGCCTTGCAGTACGTGAAGGCAGGTGTTTCCCGCCTAGGCACAAGTAGCAGCATCGCCATCGTCACGTGCAAGTGAGGGCAAATCGCGAGTTTCCAGCCGGCGGCACCCGCAGCGGCAAAACAAAGTGCGGGGGAGGGGTGCAGCATCTGGCATGGACTTAGGCGGGGTGATGACGACAGAGGAAAAAAGAAAAAAAGGGAGCAAAGCCATAAAATAGAAATGGATACATAAACGGAGCCAGGGCTTTAGTTTAAGTTTCCACTGGGGGCGAAAAGGGCGGGTTTGGTGCAGACCAACGGGGTGAAAGAACAAAAATAGGGGGCGAAGGAAAAAAGACGATGGGATTTGGATGTCTGGAAGAGTGTTGCTGTACGTACACGTTCTGCCGGGGAGAGAGGAAAAAAAGAAAAAAAAAAAAAAAAACCGTTTATTTGCATTATTTGCAACTCTGCTGTGTCTTTTCTTTTTTTATTTTTATTTTTTAATGTGATGCATTTTTCTTGGCCTTGCTCACGGCCTCCCTCGCAATCATCGTAGCCATTCATAATTAGACCCACAGACATTGGCGATATTCACACACGGACCTCTTCTCCAGAGCAGGCAGGGAGGTGGTAAGGGGGGTGGCACGTGTATTCGATGCAAAAAAAAAAAAAAAAAAAAAAAAAAGAAAAACAAACAAACAAACAAAAAAGAAACTTGTCTTTGGAGCGTCTTTGCAGAGGAAAAATCACAAATCCTTTATTCCCAGTGAAAACAGCGGCATTTTTTATCTGGTGACAAGATGCGCGTTCACCGCGGAGTGAGGGACGTGAAGCGCGATGGTGACGACCGGAGGGACTTTGTGCGGTATGACGACGAGGAAAATGTTGGCAGCCGCCCTCACTCCTCACCCATAGCGCAGTGGGCAGACTGGAGCCAACAGTTTTTTTCGAGTCTCACTGCGAGCACCTGCCGCCATTCTTCTGGATCCTCAGAGGTGACAGAACCACGCGCGAAACTGGCGGTTACAGAACGTGAATTAGTGCGCACCAGAGAGTTGCTACTGCAATATAAGCAGTATGTGGAGAAGCGATTGCTGCGGCACATTCAGAAACTGGAGGAGGAATGTGCCCAACGCGGTAAGTTTTGCGAACGTCTGAAGCGCGACAATGCGTTGCTTTTGGAAGAGATGGATCGGTATCGTGTGTCAGGGGCATCGACGGCGGGGACTTTTTGTTCCAATGGATTGAAGCGTCAACACCACCCATCACCGCCGGGGAATGCGCGTCAAGCTTCATTGTTTTCTTATCCCACACCACTTTTCCCACCACTGCCGTTGCCAGAGCGTGAGGACTCAACAAAAGGTGTGCTAGAAATGCTTCGAAGTCGTGAGTCAACACTCCTCCAGCAGCTTCATGAGGAACGGACTGAACGTGAGCGGCTGGAGTCGGAACATGCTGAGGCGATGCGGAGTTTGCAGGAAAAAGTGGCAGAGCTTGAGGAGAAGAGGCGTGTGGGTATTGATGCGACCACCATTCAGAATCTCCGTGAGGTCCTTGCACGACGGGACGACGAAATCCGTCAGCTACGGAAGTTGCATGGCTTTTCCATCGTGGAACCGCTTGAGGAAGATGAATCTCAGGGCGTAGAAGACAGTGCCGTGGCGGAATTGAAGCAGGCGGCGAGAGATGCGTTTGAGTTTGTGGCTGCAATGAATGCAACGGCCACGAATAAAATTGAAACACATACACTTCCATTAGCATCCGAAACGGGCATCCATTTCAAGGATGTGGAGGAGTTGTGGAAGGAAACCATCTGCGCCATCGCGTCTTTTTCGGATGGTACATCCAAGTTATCGCATCAGCCATTGCTTTTGCAGGCTGTTGCAAAGTCGGTACGTTGTGCCATGGAGGCAGAACATAACCAAATGGCTCTTTTTTTGCGGCAACTACTTTATGAAATTGAAGAGATGCACAAATTTATTGAGCGAGAGCGGCGTGAGCGGGATTTGGAGCGGCAGGTGGCTGCACATCGTCTGTGCGAGGTGGAGGAAGAGAGCACGGCGTTGGTGCAGCGGTTACAGCGGGAGCTTAGCGAGACGGCGCAGCGCGCCTCATCGTGGGTGGCACTAGACGAGCCGGTTGTGCGGCAAAGGAGGGAAAAAAGCTCAACAGCAAGCGGCATGCAGAGGTGTGATGTGGCCACACAAACAATGCCGTCCGTTCAACTGTCGGGTTTGCTAACCGGTGGAACGAGTAGCTTTCCTGTGGCCCAAAACGGTGCGTACAAACCACTTTCAGATGATTTGGGGCATCTCCTGCATGAAATGGAGGCTCTTGAGAGGGACAACAATGAGAAGTCCGCAATTATCGCCAAACTGCGACAGCAGCGAGAGCGTTTTTTGGGTAGCGTGGATGCGGAACTTGCACTGAGTTTCCCTGAAAGAACGGCTTTGGCAACTTCCTTCCCTCAGTACTTGCTTGAGTGAGAAAAGGCTCTTTTTTTCCTTTCTGGTGCTGGGGCGTGATAGGGGGGCAGAATGTGATGTGTAAATGTGTTTTTTATATTTCAGTGTGATTATTATTATTATTTTCTCTTTTAAGATCTTTTTCTTTGTTTTTTTTTTTTTTTTTGGTTTGCCACGAATTAAACGGAAACGCACATCTTCTCCAAAAAAAAAAAAAAAATGGGCAGGGCTACAAGCCACCAGCTCTTGTCTGCTTTTTGTTACGGTGAGCCTTCGCCGTAGTGCCGCCAGAAGCTTCTAATTTCTGTTTTTTTAGGGGGTACCGGGTGCATTATGTTCTTTACGGTGACTTCTTTCGATCGTGGAACGCCGCCTTTGCACGAATTGTCGACATCGAGGTGCCGTGGTTTTGGGCGCATGAGTCACTCGCCATCGAGAGTCGCGGCTGCTGCCGAGGAGTTGGTAACAATACCAAGGACGCATTTTTTTTTTTTTTTGTAATACCATGACAGTGTAGCGAAAATGTGCAGCCTCTTGCGATATTTTACACGCCGCACCCAAAGAGGGGAAGGATGCGTTTGCCTGAATGTTTCCCTGCCGAAGATGGTGCCCCGCATATCCTCTTGAGTTACAAGGGCTGAGATTCGCCAACTCATATGCGTTGTGTGCCGCACAGGCGGCGGTGAGGCGTGTAGAAGTGTCCCGACGAGCATGCGAATGCTTTGGCCAGCGACAAGGTGGGCGCCTTTTCTGGTGATTTTTCTCTCTGTTATTCCTTTGGGAAGACGAAAAAATCTGTGGTAGCTGCAATGGATGCGATGTACTTTTTATCTGCCGCACCTGCAGACCCCGCGAGAGTTCTACTTTGAGATAACTAAGCGTCAATGGATGTTTTTTTATCTTTATTTCTGCGTTTTCCCTCACGGTGGAATGACGTGTATTTCTTTTTTTTTTGTGTGTGTATGGCCACTGTTTTGTGAGTGACATTTTTTTTTTTCTTTTGGCTGCAAGCAAAAGGGAGGGGGAGAGCCCATACAAGGCGTGAGTGGTGCTCGACACTTCCGCCCACCTCACACACGTGCCTATTTATAGAGGGAAGGGCATCGACGTGTGCGGGTGTCTTTTTTTTGTGTGCGAGATATTTGTTTGTTACTATTGTTATTTGTTTCTGTCACCCAAATTGTTGATGGCGACCCCTGTGGACCCGACGGATGATCGGTCGCGACGGCAACGTCCGCGTCCGGCGCACTCCCCGGCAATGATGTCCACCACCACCACCACCACCACCGACGATTTGGCAAGCGGCACGGAGGAGAGCGCCAGTTCGTTGCTGCGTCACGATCCGCAGCTGGCGGCCGTGCTGGGTGGACTGCCCAGTTCATCTAAGGAGCTCTTGCGGCGCATTGAGCGACAAAAGGACGAAATTCGTCTTTTGCAGGAGGAGAATACGCGGCTGCGAGCGAGGGAAGTTGAAGTTTCCGCGTTGACTCTCCGTCTGCAGCAGCAATTTGGGGCGACGCAGTCACAGGTGGACCGTCTCAAGTCACAGATACGTATGGAGCTCATGAACCCCATCACGGAAGAGGAGTACAGGGCGATTGATTCCCTTGAGGAGGGGAAGCGGGATCTGCTGGACACAGTGAAGCTTGGTATTTATCACCAGCTTGGTTCAATGCGGGCTGCGAAGGACGCGGCAATGCAGAGGGCGACGGAGATGTCGACAGAGACGACACGACTTACACGTGAGAACAAAGAGCTTCAGCAAAGGCTCAAAGAACTGGAGGCGGTCGTGGAGGCGGAACGTCAGTCCTTCCGACGTCAGCTGCAAGAAGTGGAGCAGCGCGGCAGCAGTGTGGTGGAGCTCGAGGGGAAGGTTCGGGAATTAGAGTCAAGACTGAAGAATGCCTACATGGACCAGGAGCAGTTTCTCACGGCCAAGTTGAATGCATCTGTCAAGACGGAGGAGGCCACACGACTTGGAGTGCGGCTTCGTGAGGCGGAAATGGAGGCGGAGCGATACAAAACAAGTGCCGAATGCTCGGAGCAGAAGCTTGACATACTCAAGTCGGAGTATTATGAGTTGAAGCTAAAAAACAGCCAGCGGGTGATGGAGCTTGAAGCGTGCCTCAGAGGAGCGGAGGAGAAATTGAAGACTCTTGCTGACCTTGAGCTCGAGTCCGAACTGTTTGTCTCGAACTTGGCGATGCAGTCCGGCGGGCAAGTGTCACTTACCGCTGCTTCACTTTCTGCGGCGGCGGGAGGTGATGGGGCACCCTCGGCGCCTTCCGCCACCGACGCCTTGAGTAACTATGAGAGCTGGCTTGCCTTACCGCGTTCACGCAAGTTGGCACATACGCTTACCGTAACGAAACGTTGTCTGCAATTAGAGAATCGTCTCGCTGCCATACAGCACGACGTGGAATTTAAAGACAAGCAGATTGCACGGCTGCAGGCTTCCCTAGATATGGCGCGGGAGGCGTTGAACAACTCCAACAGTCCCTTTGCCATGGTGGAGCGCTCTGTGGAGCGACTCACGAATGAAAACGAGGAACTCCACAACAGGACTGTGATCCTGTCGGAGGAAAACACACTACTGCGCCAGCGACTAGAGCAGCGCACCGCTGATGTGCGAGTTCTTTGTCGTCATCGCAAGGAGCTCCTGCGCATTCAGCGCGTTTTGCGGCGTCTTGGTATAGAGGGGCAGGTATCAGATCCCGCAGCTGCGCCGCGTTCACAGGGACTTCAGCAATCCCTGCGGCCGTTGTCGTCGTCACAACAGCAACAACAGGATGTGGAGGACACGAAGGATCCACGATCTATCAGTGCACGCTCTATTGTGGCGCGACAGGATCCGACAGTTGAGTCGCTTTCTTCCCTATTTCGTCAACATGCAGAGGAGCCACTGCAAACAGTAACAGAAACCGAAACAGCTGCGGCCACGGAGGAGAAACAAAAACAAGCGCAACAACGATCTCATGATGCGGAGGAATCTTTGAGCGGTGTATTTATACCACGACCCATTCAAATAATATCTTGATTGCAGCATTACTTCTTTTTTTTTTTTTTCCTTTACAAGCTATGAAAAATTGTGGGTGGAGGAAAAAGAAAGTCGTTTTTGCAGTTTTTATTGGCTTGCTTTGCGATTTTTATTTGCATTTGACCCATTTTTTTATTTTATTTTATTAAAATTATTATTATTATTTTTACTTATTTTTATTTTTGGGTCAACTGCTGTAGCGGGCGCTTTCCCGAGAGATGGATGAATCGAATTGCAATTTTTTTGTTCGATTGCCCTTCTTTACTCATTGCAAGTAGTCACTCCTTTGATTTACAAACAAACAAACAAAAAAAAAGTACGTGCTTCAGTAGATGGCGTGCTTGATTGTCACTTCAGCATCGTTCTTTAGATCCACCGGCAAATCATGCAATGCTGAGAAAATAATTTTAGCGTCTCCGACGTCCAAAGACGTTAGTGCAACACGAGAAGAAGCGAATGCACGGAACACGCAGGGCGACTGACGACTTCATGATGCGATCAATCGAGGCATTTGTATGACCGTGACGATGAGTTACACCTCCGTGCCCCCAGCCACCTACAACAGGCACGGGACTGGCTCGCTCCTTCCCTCCACAGCCCTCTCCGCCGCCTTCTCCCTCCCTGTCTCTCTGTGCCACGGTGCACCACCTCGCCTCCTCTGTCGTGCCGGAGTGTGCTTTCCCGGGCTGTGGCTGGCCACTGTTTGCCCCCTTGTTTCCTATGGGGGTCTGCCGTGCATGTGATGCGTCCCGATCGTCTTTATCCTAACAAAGCGTCTGACTCCTTTGCGTGAGGTGCACTCTGTACCCGTCTCTGATGGCATTGCCACCCCCATTTTTTACTATCGCGCAGCCTCCGGAGGGGAGTCTTGCCGAGTTGCGGAGAACGACACACTCCTGCTGGCGGAGGCGGACCACACGCCACTGCGACCGAAAGCCATTGATATCCCGCGGCATTTGGAAGGGTGTGTGCCAACAGCTGGGCGCAAAATGATTGTGCGGTACACAACTGTGGAGTGCAAAGAGGACTGCGACGGATTTGCGTCGTGCTCGACTGCTGCTTTTGCCCTGCGCGTGCCTGTTTGTGTAGATGCCATTTTATTTCTCTTGTGTGTTTGTTCTATTCTTGTCTTGTGCGCACTTTCGCTGTGCATGCAGGAATAGTTTTGAACGCTAGAAACAAGCTACTCACAATGCTTCGCCAGCTTTGCTGCGCGCTGCTCCTGTTGCTGTGCACCGGTGGCGGCCTCGTCATTGCGGTGCCGCACCATTGCGTGTTTGATCGCCTGCCACGGAACGTTGGCGAGGTGACGGGCGGGGAGGAGCCGGCCAGTCCTGTCACTGTGTCCGTGGGCAGTGACTGGGCGCCCCTCCGAATCAAGGTGTTTGCGGATGACCTGGAGGGGTTGGGGGGATTCTGCACCAGGGCCGGGGAGCATATAAACATGTTTTTTGGCAAGGAGATGGTCTGCCAGGAGGAGGACATTCTGACGGAGGAGAAGGTGGACATTCTCGAGAACGTGATTCTTTCCGAGGCGGCGAAGATGCACGGCGAGCGTCTGCTGGTGCGGCCGCTGGATGGCCCGCTGGTCGTGCCGAGGTTCCGTGAGGGCAGTGTTTGCGGGAAGTTTCCTGTGCCGGAGGAGCACCACACGGATGGGGTGCCCGATGCGGACATGGTGCTGTACGCGACTGCTGTTCCGACGTTCAAGCCGACCTTTGCGTGGGCGATGCCGTGCGCGACGTTGGGCCCGCGAGGGCGTCCTGTTGTTGGCGTCATCAACTACAACCCGCGCCACATCGAGAACACGTCGCAGCACATCCGCGTGGCTGTGCACGAGATGGCGCACGCCCTCGGTTTCATTGTGACGGACATGGAGGGGCAGGCGCTGGTGAAGCGGGAGGTGGGTGTGCGTGGGAGGAGCAGTGTCCACGTTGTGAATTCCCGGAATACGCTGGAGCAGGCAAGGCACCACTACGGCTGCGAGTCAGCGCCGGGCATGGAGCTGGAGTTTGCGCCGCCAACGCGGAATCCGGCGGCGCCAGGAGGAAGAGGAAGGGGTGCTGGGCCAGGAGAATGGAGAGAAAGAGGAGGAGGAAGGATTTTGCCAGATCTGCCAGGAGGAAGAGCAGGAAGAATTTTTCCAGGAGAAAGGAGAGAAAGAGGAGGAGAAAGAATTTTGCCAGATCTGCCAGGAGGAAGAGGAGGAGGAAGAGGAGCTGCTGAGCTACCAGCGGAGCCAGTGAGGAGAAGAGAGAGAGAACGTATGCTCAGGCTGCGTGCGGCCCAACATATTTCCGCATCAACGCAGGCGGCGGCGGACGGAACCCTCTCAACGGGCACCACGCTCACGGTGGTGGAGAAGCAGTGGAGGCCGCCTTCGTGGCTTGGCCTGATGTCTCACTGGGGGCGGCGGAACGCGAAGGATGAGCTGATGGCGGGCTTCGTTGTTTCCGGCTACTACACCGCGATCACGATGGCACTGTTCACCGACCTCGGCTACTACAAGGCAAACTTCGAGATGGCGGAGCCGATGAGCTGGGGCAGCGGAGCCGGCTGCGCGCTGCTGACCGACAAGTGCGTGACGGACGGTGCCACGCTGTACCCTGATATGTTCTGCACCGACTCGAGCGACGCCACTCTGCGGTGCACGTCTGATCGCCAGTCGCTGGGGACCTGCGCAATTTACCAGGACGATAACATCCCACCGGAGTTCCAGTACTTCGCCACCAAGCAGGGCTCCAGGCGAGGGGCCATGATGGAGTACTGCCCCTTCATTGCGCCAATGAATGGCACAGGGTGCATGGATGGCGACGAGGCCATCATGCCTGGGAGCGTTGTTGGCCCGTCCTCGCGCTGCTTGACTGGGGAGAACCTTCGGATGGGCAGTACGGTTGTTGGTGACGTGTGCGTGCAGTTGAGGTGTGGTGAGGGCACGCTAAGTGTGCGGTACAGGGGCAGCGAGGAGTGGCATCCCTGTGCACCGGGACAGACGCTGACGCCCCCGGCGCCATTCACGGCGGGCAGCATAAGATGCCCCTTGTTCAGCGACGTCTGCCTCACCATGTTGAAGCACAGTGATGCGAGCAGCGCTTTGGCGGTCACTTCTGCGCCGCTTCTTCTCCTCATTGTGATCGGCACGGTGATTGTCGCACCCTGACCCGTACCTGTTGCCGACACCGCACCTCCCCTGCTCCATTGGGCCTCTCTTGGAATCCTTTTGCTATAGGAGCTCAGACATTTTTTTCATGTTTTTTTCTATTGTTTTTTTTTTTTTTTATGTTTTTTATTGCTTTGTTTTCTGCCGCGGTGAGCCAAAGTCTTTTCGCCCTCTCCCGGCTACAAGAGTGCCTGTGACTTCTCATTGGCCTCACCGCCCGGCGGAGGACATTATGTAAGGTGTGTGTAGGACGTTTGCTTTGGAAATGACCGGTGCTGAAGTCATGCATCCCCTCTGGCTGTGGTGCATCTGTGTGTTCAGAGGCGTGTTGGCGGAGCGACAGCGCAGGGAACTGACTTCTTCCCCATTTCCCAATGTTTTTCTTTTATTATTATTATTATTATTATTATTATTATTATTATTATTATTATTATTATTATTATTATTATTATTATTATTGCGCATTGCGACATCCCGTGAAAACGCGCCGAGGGTTTGAAAGAAGTCTTTTTTCGGTGATGGCGGAGGCACCTGATAATAGGTTTTTCTTTTTTTCTCTTTTGTGGACGGGCACCGAATGAATGTGCGGGTGTTTTACTTCCTTCTTGTTGGGCTCACTGGGGATGTGTCAGCGCTCTGGGGCGGTAGCTGTGTTGTGTTTTTGGAGTGGAGGCGGGTCTTGCCCGATTGCCTGTTTCTTCTTTTTGTTGCCTCTCTTGTTGCTTAGGATGTTTTACTCGGCTGCCCTCTCGCGGGATGGACCGGCCGTTCGTTTTTTCTTGCCCCACTGCCACCAGCACCTCTGCGGTGTGAGTGCCGCCTCCGATGCTGACGGCCAGCGAAAACACAGGCGCCGTGCTTGCAACGATCACTTCGCCTGCACCTGTGCTGCCCCAGATCCCACGGCCATTGCGCGGAGGGGAAGGAGTGCTGTGCGCGCGTGAGTGGAGCGTGCTCCGTGGGTGAGGCGGCGGCCGTATATCATCATTTCTGTGCCGTGACTGTCTCAATCGGGCCCGCAAGAGCAGCACCGACGGCGTGAAACGCACAGGGCGGCTGACAACTTCATGATGCGATCAATCGAGGCATTTGTATGACCGTGACGATGAGTTACATCTCCGTGCACCCAGCCACCCACAACAGGCACGGGACTGGCTCGCTCCTTCCCTCCACAGCCCTCTCCGCCGCCTTCTCCCTCTCTGTCTCTCTGTGCCACGGTGCACCACCTCGCCTCCTCTGTCGTGCCGGAGTGTGCTTCCCCGGGCTGTGGCTGGCCACTGTTTGCCCCCTTGTTTCCTATGGGGGTCTGCCGTGCATGTGATGCGTCCCGATCGTCTTTATCCTAACAAAGCGTCTGACTCCTTTGCGTGAGGTGCACTCTGTACCCGTCTCTGATGGCATTGCCACCCCCATTTTTTACTATCGCGCAGCCTCCGGAGGGGAGTCTTGCCGAGTTGCGGAGAACGACACACTCCTGCTGGCGGAGGCGGACCACACGCCACTGCGACCGAAAGCCATTGATATCCCGCGGCATTTGGAAGGGTGTGTGCCAACAGCTGGGCGCAAAATGATTGTGCGGTACACAACTGTGGAGTGCAAAGAGGACCGCGACGGATTTGCGTCGTGCTCAACTGTTGCTTTTGCCCTGCGCGTGCCTGTTTGTGTAGATGCCATTTTATTTCTCTTGTGTGTTTGTTCTATTCTTGTCTTGTGCGCACTTTCGCTGTGCATGCAGGAATAGTTTTGAACGCTAGAAACAAGCTACTCACAATGCTTCGCCAGCTCCGCCAGCTTTGCTGCGCGCTGCTCCTGTTGCTGTGCACCGGTGGCGGCCTCGTCATTGCGGTGCCGCACCATTGCGTGTTTGATCGCCTGCCACGGAACGTTGGCGAGGTGACGGGCGGGGAGGAGCCGGCCAGTCCTGTCACTGTGTCCGTGGGCAGTGACTGGGCGCCCCTCCGAATCAAGGTGTTTGCGGATGACCTGGAGGGGTTGGGGGGATTCTGCACCAGGGCCGGGGAGCATATAAACATGTTTTTTGGCAAGGAGATGGTCTGCCAGGAGGAGGACATTCTGACGGAGGAGAAGGTGGACATTCTCGAGAACGTGATTCTTTCCGAGGCGGCGAAGATGCACAGCGAGCTTCCA